TAACTCGTTTCCAACTACGCTCCATTGGCTTCTTCTTTCTTGGCTCGTGTTCATGCCTCCCATATGATGGCATCAGCTGAATTTGACATACGTCATCTCATGTAGTTCGTGTTGGCTACATTAGAAAATATCACTATATATATCGTAGTGGAGTGTGATGCTGTGAAAGTGATTACGGCTTCTTCTAGAACGAATGCGTCAGAGCATTTTAAAATTTCAACTGCGTGCATCGCCATTGGAGTAATCACATAGCTTGATGGCAATTGAAGACCTCCATTCGCGACGTCATGGAAAATAAAATGCAGAGGTTCATTAAAGAAGGACTGGGCAGCAAAACAAAAAAGACATTGCAGTAAAAGAGACGGCTACCTTTTCGCAATGCATTCAATTGCCCGTAAAACTTTCTAAAAACTGGGCTGAATAGTCCACAAAGGTGGCCTTCTAAAAGAGAGAGGAACAGCATTTTTTATATGCACAGCCAGCCGCGATACTGTGACAGCTCTGCAGTTTATATCACCAAGCTCACTTTTTGCATGAAGACGATACTTGCGAGCGTTGGAACATTGGTCGTACAACGCGTGTTGAAAGCGGCATAAATTTGCCTTGCAACGTCGTAGTGGTCCCTGAAAGGAATTGTTTTTTCCTCTAATCCGTCTACTTTGATTCTCAATTTCATTAAGCCAATTATTTCATGCAGGAATAAACTCGAACAAAAACTTGGTTATGTCATCTAAAATGTTGGCATTATTGAGCACAACTTTTCAAAACTTGAGCTTACAGTCGTAAGTGCTGCTGGCGGTAACGCCAAACTAACGGCAGAAACAAAATAAAGATAACAGAATAATGATCTCTTTTCAAGTGTTTCTGCTGAACACTTTGAACTGAAGCTGCGCTTGAACCAAACGCAAGAGACCCCAGGAAAATGTTCGTTAAAATGAAAGTTCACTGAAATGGAGTAGCCGAGTTGCAAACTTGTTATCAGGAGCTAAAGGGAACATCAATTGATGAAATTCATTCGTTTGCAATGTGGTTTATTTGAATGTTAATTTATGCTTATTTAGCGTGTTTTTTTTTTTAGAATGAAGCAATCTGTTGCTGTACATGAGCATTTAGGAGTGCGGGAGTCATGAATTTAGTCTTCATGTCGGAACTTTCATAAGCCTTCACCAGCACAATACCCTGCTAGGAAGCAAAAAAAAAAAACCACGTTCATTGTTTCCAAGTTCAAATTTTCTTTTTTCTCTGCAATGATTACTTCTTCATCCTCATCTTCTTAACTCTAACTAGTGATTATTTACCGCTAACGCGTCACTAATAACCAGTTACTGCTCAAGACTGCAATATGTAGTGTCCCTTGAGAACTGTAAGTGCTGGAACTCCTCAAATTGTATGAGAGCTGTTTCACTGTTCTTGAAAAATAACAGGCGCCTATATCTTACTTGCAAACACTTTTAAAAAAGTATAATCAACAGCCATGCTTTCGTCTGTCCTTTTTTTGAGCCTAAAAAGAATGTGGCACCTGCCCGTTCAACGGATCGGGAAGAATTTTTAATTTATTTTAGTAGATTGGTTGAATGATAAAGCACAATTAAATAAACAAAAAATACTGGGTGATATATCAAGTAAATGATGTTTTACTCATGATTTCATGAGTATACGCGACTACCAAATCAATTTCATCAAGACAAACTCGAATATATTTGTACAATTTTAACGCAATCTTAACAAGTTATTTAATATTTTTTGTAGTAATGAATAAAATTAGGTGTGTTTAGAAACTTCAATAAAGCTGGAAACCACATCAAAGCATACCTTTGGCAGTGTTTGACACATGAGGCAACAACACATAGTATTATTTCGGCAGTTAAGTTTAGGCCTATATTTGAAACTGAAGTAACAAGCAAGTAACGAACAAGCAGTAGTCCTTTATTATATAAGTATCGGCGACATGTCAAGAAATAATGTTGAATATTTCCAGTTTCTCCAAAGAATTGACAAAGGGGTGATATTGTTAGACGAGTCCTGTATAAATATGATGTTATTAGGGGCCCACGGAACCTTATGTGGACAATTGTGATTTCTGATTAAAGATCCTCGCTCCACTGGCATGTCCGTGGAAATTTTCGATGCTTGTATTCTGTTAACCGTCCTAATGCTTCTATCTTATTAGTTCGAATCGCCAAATTTCTACATGTGATTACTGTCATATGAATTCTATTTCTGGAAGCACCCTAATTATAGGGCCATTCAGCAATGCTCGCACCAAGTAATCGACCGATTCATTTATTGTAATGCGCTGTGAACTGGCACCACCAATCATTTGAGACTCTCAGCGCCGAGGTGGAACTAACGAGCGTAGCGTGTTTAGGGTGCGTATGTTATGAGAAGCATTTGGAGCGGTGCATACCAACTTTGATCCAGTTATTACGAGTGCTCTGTTCGCGACCGCCGGCAGTTTTCGCGGCGTCATGATGGTATAGCCATCTGCACAGCTTCGAAAACAGGAGTGGAATGTGGCAGTCTCAGGGTGCCTCTTTGTTTTCGTCATCTTCAAGCGCCACACCGGCAGCTGGGACTGGCGTGTTCAACAGGAAACGTTTCAGTTCTCTACTTGAATTTGAAATTTAGTTGCATTTAGGCAATAGTGTAGAAACCCTTTACTGCCAATTATGCTCAGACACTGATACAAGAGGCATTTTTCGCATGCACTGATAAGACAGATTCTTGAGCTAGTTGGCGATTGAAGATCAACATATTTGCACAGCGCAAGACTAGTAGTTACGACACAGTGCGTCGTAACTGCTCGTAGTCTTGCGCTGTGCAAATATGTTGATTCGCATACAACGGCCACGCTTGACCTCCTGAATGCACATTCATAGGTAACACGCGTATCCCCTCATTCTAAAGCTTGCAATACGAAACACCAAGTTATCAACTGAAGGCAGCGTTAATGCCATTATATTGCAGACAACCAAGTTTAATAAACTTTTGGGCCGGAGCCTAACAATAGGCCTAAAGAAGTACGCTTGAAAACAAGGAATTTTTTTGAAAAAACAGTGGCATGATGCACTGTTACAAATGCGTATAATTTTTCCAACACGATAAGTGTTTTATGCCTGCATCCACCGCGACTCTGCGGACGTATTTTCCTCGCAAAGATGACCCTACAGAATATATACTAACAGATTACAAACAAAAAAAGAGAAGAAAAAAAATCTGTAGGGGGCATTGAACCAGTGACCTGTCGCTCCGCATCGTACAGTACTAACCCCTAGAACACGGCACGGATGTTCCTTCAGTGCATTTTCGTCATCAGTAATGAGACGACGTGACGTATCGGACACGCTCTAAAGGTCATGGACTATCGCGTTTCTACAAGTGCCGCCTCCATTAAGCCTGGTTTGTTCCACGTGTGCGCTGATCAGACGCGTGATAAGGAAGAGTGCGAAAGTTACTTCGCTTGCTGCCACAGCCGAAAGTAGCTCGCTGCTCACAAGTGACGAAGTGAGAATTGCGAAGTAGTTCGTGCTTGTCCTTCTTATTTGCGACTCTAGCAATTCATGCGGCACCGGCAGCGATATAGGCCAGCTGCGTACTAAGGTCAAAACAGTGCGAGCGCCAGTAGAATTTGGTAGGAGCATGGTAGTATGAGGTCGCCCGTGAAGAAAAAAAAAACAAATGGCCAAGCAGATTTCTTCTTTCCAGATGAGGCACCAGGGTCATGTTGCTAACTCGAAACTAATAAATGACCATTGTGTTCAGTGACTACATGTCGCTGAGCGCACCCGTTCTATGTAAACAAATTTCGCAGAGACGCGGTGCGCCATGTGCATTACTTGCACAACGCGACCACTTCAAGAACACCATTTGCACTTGCGGGACCACTGGTGCCGACTAAAATAAAATGTTCGGTGTCAACAACGCGCTCCCCTTCTAGAAATCAGCGCAAACTACAATCACACTGCAGAAAATTCAATAGTTGTGTTAGCGACAGTGGACGCGGTGACCTCCGTGAATCATCCATGCTGCAACTCCGCAGCGCCCTCACATGTTCATTTGAGTTGCGATTTTTTTTTTCGTTTGAAGAGAATGCTTTGAGTGCCAAGCTGTCATAGTTCTTATTCTGCGCACGTACTGTGTCTGCCCATTTCATGCGTGCTTTCTGCTTCTGGTGCACACTGCAAGTTTCGAGCTGCTTGTTGTTTTCGCGTGACTTTGCAGTTTGTCGCTTTATCGTTCATTTATTTGCCCTGGTGGCAAAACAATGCACAATAAACATTCAATTATCTCTGTGAAGACATGTCTCTTTTTCTTCGTTCAGCGAACTGGGAGCGCAGAGAAAACACAAAGGACGAAGCGAGGAACCACACAACACGAGCGTGTGGTTCCTCGCTTCGTCCTTTGTGTTTTCTCTGCGCTCCCAGTTCGCTGAACGAAGAAAATGAATTACCAACTGGCCCACATTTTGATCCTTTTGAAGACATGTCTCATTTTCGTATTGTACCAATTCCTAGAAACAGGGATCAGCCATGTTTTCTTTTCGAAACATCACACTGTATATTCATGTGACTGCTGCCTATTTTTTTTCGTGGTAATGCTGTGCATCAAATTTAACATCGCCATGTGCACACATAGATGTGATCGCTGAATATATTTCTGAACTGTTAGGTTGAGCTGCATACAACTGCCACAGCTTTGCACTGGTTACGCTTAGAGACTTGGACTATGCGTGTTTCATGTTAAATGCCTCCGAGGAATGCGGGGTAGCCGGTGCCCTCTGTGCGCACCATCTCTTTACATTCAGTGGCGTAGCCATGGGGTGCACTTCACGCCCGTGCCCGACTCCCCCACCCAACGATATTTTTCTGTCATGCACACAGCGTAAAATGACCAATCGCCTCCACTTAAACTCGCGAATGAGGCCCTCCTCCCACCATAAAAAAAGAAGCCCTGCTTACAGAACATCGCTAAAGAATGAAAATACACTGCGACGTGCTCACCTTGCAGGCGACCCGATGGGGGCAAAGCTTGCCGAATCCCAGGGGGGGCTGGATCTTGCGCAGTAGCGTCACCACGTCCAGGTGTTTGATGCGTCCTCTGAGCGAAAAAGTAATCACGTTCGTGCACGTCAGCGAACTCCATTTGAGTTTAGTGTGAACTAGTTATCTGCGCAAAACTGTTCAAAAAGCCGGTTAATTTTGATATTGTGAAAGGTTTACTCTGCCTTTGCGAAACGAGTATAAACAAATGCACAGATGTTTAGCCATCTTTGCAAGTTGAATTATCAGTACACACTGTGCAGCAAATGAAATAACTTGAGCAGCTATGCCTGCAAATCACTCATGCTAGGACAAGTGTACCAAAATAAACCCCTGAAAACCTTCCTTCAAGATAGTCCTGCGTTGTGGCAAGTTCTATATAGGACAAACGCAGTGGTGTAATAATGACCGCCTAGGGGAGCATGCCTATAGTAGTAAAAAAACTGATTGTGCACGTCTTCCAGCGCATAGTATGTCATTTTTGCACAAGTTAGAATTATTACCAGAGTAAAACATCTAACGGCGAGGCAGCTATTAACATCAAAGGGAAGGCGTCTAACGGTGTAATGATGCATCAACCGTGCTACATAAACCTCGTGTTACGATTTTATTATACTCCGCTTTCCTGATGACATGTGTGACGTTACTTCTTGAAGCATCGGTGCACGCTCGGGAGTTTTTGCGGCTGGCAGCCTTTGCTGTCCCCATACTTTTAGTAGGTGACGCTCATCCGTCCTTGTTCCATTACTGTACTGATGTTCCAAGCTTTGCGCGCAAATACCATGCTCAATGGGTGAAAGTAGCACAGAGAAATAGTCACAGACGTCCTTGTCCACTCAGGGCCGTGATTGTTGCAGGCTAGTGCATCACCATGAATGAGCCACAATTCCAGGAGTTTCCTTTGTTGTTTACTCTCGCTCTCAATCGAGTATCGCAGTATGGCATGGGTCGACGGTATGGCTTGCTTTTAGAGTAGTGTTCAATAGGTTCCGTCTTATGGTACGCTACATGGGCGACACACCCAGTCTTCCAACCCGTCTCACTGGTTGATTCGCGTTGAAATATCCCACATCGTACATTTTGCAGATGACGTTGCTCTGATCATCTGCAGACGTGAAATAGCAGAAGATCTTTCAAAGTAGGCGGCAGAAGAAAAAAAAATATTAGAAATCTACGATTAACGGCGGATGTCACAAATCATTTCAGCTGAACTGGGCAAAGATCAACAAGAATCCCCAAATTGTTCAACCACCTCTTTGTAGCTCATGGTTCATTCTAAGCGTTTCTCAGCAAGAAAGCTCCAGAGATTACGAAAAAGTCATTGTCTTGAATATATGCACTTGCGTCAGTAGCAGCATCATTTTCAAACACGGTGTCAAACAACTCATTAGAAACGTTTTTCACGCTACTCACCGCCTGCTCGGAAGTTACTCTAACGTAGGCTATCATCAAATACTATAGTCCCACAGTAGTTACCAAAAGCGAATCATTATTACCAAAAGCGAATCAAAACTATTACCAAAAGCGAATCATTAGTCAATCGGAACAAGCTAGCGAAATTTCTCTCATGCAGCTGCACAAGAAACTATACTTCATTTTGGTCTCAATATCTCGCACAAAGTTTTCTCTCACATGTCGTAAACTGCTAACGTTAAGATTGTGCAACAGCAGTTGCCTTTCGGTGGAACTCGAGTTGAATTGTGTTTATCAGCTATTATTTTATTCTTTCCGCAGCTCTAGATGGGGCTGGTTACTGATCGCCTTCCGAAATTTTGCGTGCTGAAATCAGCGGCAGTGCGTATAATACTTATATAAACACCTGCGTATAGAAAGGGTGGCTTCTTGGCCTTGTTATTTTTGATTTTGGAGGCACTGCGAGCGTGCGACGAAGCAGGACATGCGGCGCATCGGCTCCGTTAATTTTCGACTGGAGCCACGGCTCAATCAACTGCACTCCGCCAAGCTCAATGTTCATTGACGCACATATCCAGCTTTTCTGGACACTTAGAAGCCAGCGCCCCTAGCGGTCCCGGATCGAAGCTAGTGAGTTTTCCATGGAATCACTATGTTTTTCTCAAATAATTGTGGAGGGTGAACGTTGAAAAACGCGGACAACAGAGCGCGTCTAGAAACCTAAACGAACGAGAAGGTGGCAGTGATTATGTTGGGGTATACGCTTCAATTTTTTCCCAGAGCAGTTTAAAGATCGTACAATGGGAGTCTATGGAAACGACAAAAAACTGGCCTGTTTTTTGAGACAAAAACGTTCACTGCAGTAAAGCTAAGCAGGTTCTATTATTGGTCAGTGCACCGTATGTAGTCCTGACACTTAGCTTTCGATTGAAGCATTTCTCGACCCACCGCAATTGGCATAACATTCTTCCCTAACGCATTTTTTGTGACGCTGTTCTTCAAATGCTTGTGGCATATTCATAAACTCTTGCTTAGCGCCAACATCTCAGTGGCATGTGTGGCCGAGTGCGTTGATCACATAGTTGCAAGGCATAACATCAGTGCATTGTCATAGGTTCGATGCCACGCGTCAGAGCATTTTTTGAGCCCGAAAATTAGTTTTAAAGTCTCACAAGATACCACGACCAAAACAAAACAAACAAGTTTCTGTTTCAGTTTAGATTTGTCACTGTGATCTCAAGGAGTCTTGTTTTTTTTCTTCATTTTCAATAATTTAAGTACATTTTTAAATACTTCACGCATATGACAGTCATAAGATGTACATGCGCAATTCTTACTTTAATTTTCACAGATTCTAAAGAAAACAATGCTTGATCAAGTTAGGTGAACAAGGCTCCTCTTTTTCGTTCGCGTATTGTAATGTAAAATTTAGGTGAACAAAGCTACTTCGTTTTTTCATACTTGTAATATAGTGTAAACTTCCTTTCCGTTTTCAAGATTTTGTTATGCTCTCCCCAGGTCACTACAATTTACCGATGTAAAGAACACGAGCTAAGGCTAGAGAAGCAAGGCATAGTATAAGTTAAATTACACGTTTCGCCATTGCTTTCTGAATGCGAAGCGCGTCTTTGCGTAGTACCTATCATCTATCTATCTATCTATCTATCTATCTATCTATCTATCTATCTATCTATCTATCTATCTATCTATCTATCTATCTATCTATCTATCTATCTATCTATCTATCTAGCCATTCACGTGTGTATATATCGTCGCATACCCCTTACTAATATTTGTCTGCTAGGTTGAGAGGCGATATACGGATTATATACAGGGTGTCCCACATTACTTGAGCCAAGAATTTGAAAATGAAAGACACTTCAGTGGCGGATTTACCCAAATGCGTACTACTCACACAGCCTGTAGGTACTCCAGCTATCTTTTATTTCTCCCCATACTAATTATTTAATAATAAGAATATACCTATTTTTAATTTGGGCTGGAAACCCAAAAGATGAACACTGACATGTAGAGCACTTTCAGAAACCACGGAATAAACTGGTTCCTGTACGATACGTCTCGTGCTGTTAATATTTCCATGCTGTAAAGAAAGTGTGGCAGTTTGGGCTGGCTGGTATGACATGACGATAGATATAGTGCGAGACTTCTTGACTTTTTGTCGTCGTTCTGTTCTCGCGCTATAACTATCGTCTCGCAAAGAAAGCCGCTAAATTAAAAAAAAGCCGTGCGACGGACCACGAGTGAACTACTATAGTGCTGCAATTAACCTCTATAGCAGCAGATATCTATAGGCTTCTATAGCAGCATTCTCGCTATATTTTTTGCATGTTTCATTCGCTCGATTCCGTCTTTTTTTTTGTTGATGAAAAGCGCATATATAAATATATATATATATATATATATATATATATATATATATATATATATATATATATATATATATATATATAAATATATATATATATATATATATATATATATATATATATGCATGGGAAACGGACGAAAATTAAAGGTAAATAGCCGACCAACCCATTAACGAGAAACCTTTCCTTTACGCACGCCGCCCGCCGCCCGCCGAACGACCCATTACGGGGAAACCCCTTACGCACGCCGTCACGGACCCTCCCGGCACCGCGGCGACAATCTTGGGTGGCCCGACACACGTCAAGAACTGAACAGCACGTGATAAGAACCGTATGTGGATGTAGACGGACAGTTGGCTTCGTTCTCAGTGTTGACAGTGGTTCTTCCTCTTTTTTACTGTCTTTCTTTTCTCTCTTTTTTCGTCTTTTTTCTCCCCCTTGTTTTCTAGTTCCCTCTCACTCTCGCAAACGTCTTTCAAGGCTAGAGGGACGCGGCAGCAACGAAGTTTGGAAGCTCATGTCAGTATAACTCTTCCCCTGATGAAGGGAGGACCCCTCCCGAAACTGTTGGAAAATAAATATATTTATCCATGTTGACAACGCTCCCGTTGTGCCATATGCCATACCTTCACGAAGACTAACTGGCCCATTGAAATATTACTCCCACTATAATATATATATATATATATATATATATATATATATATATATATATAGACGCACATGCTAGGCGAGCGAGGCAAAGGAGAAAGAAAAGAACAACGAAGTCAGAATAAGAACAGCAGGCCCAGGATCGGGTGTTGTCTCTTTTCTCTCCGTTACAATGGCGCAGTCCGACAAGTGATTCCTCTGCAGAAAGCCACCGATACGTGTCTTCGTGGTTCGTCGGCAGCGCGGGCTTCTCCATCAAGGAACGCCGTTCACGCTTCCTTAGAGATGGGGTCCCACCCACCGCTTCAGCCACTCTTCAGGCCACCTGTGGACGGCGTCCAGGCCTCCCCTTTGGCCATGATCTGATTGAAACCCTGCCACCGTTTCACGGCAGGATCCGCACCGGCTTCTGTCCCTTGGGAATGCCTCTCACGTTTCCCATGGCCTACATCCCCGTTGCGGTATTCTTTCAACAAACGAGCCGCCACCGAACGCCGTTCAGGCTTCCCTGCTCGTCGACCTCACTGGGCTGAGAGCTGCAATTGGTACTTACTCAAAGACCACGATCAGTGACTCTTCGGGCTTAACGCACGACAGCACCGTGGAC